TCCCAGATCACAGGAACAACCTTGAGGAAGACTACTGGCCTTCATCCCACGACCACCAAGAGGCAGAAAACGACCACCTAGCAACAAGGTGCACCTGCGCAGAAAAGACACCAGAACGTCACACTTCCGGAGGAGAAGACCCGATAAGTTGGGGGGAATGGGGCACGAAAATGCGGTAGTTAGAATAACTGCTGCCCAGCGCGCTGATTTGCTTTCGTTTCCTACCATTAATAAATCTTTTTAATTAGATTAGAAAGCCTATTGTGCTCGTTCATAACATCCTCACAATCCTGGGATTTCATGCATTCACACACACCAATCACTTATTGCTGTCTTCCAAGCCATCTGAGATGGCTCCTGCTGGCTTGTATCCTCATGTCATTGCCACATCCTTTGATTTTGAGGGAGGATATACATCCTTCAATTATACCACTGCTTTTCCCAAGAAAGACACCTAATGATATGTCCTAAATTTATTCCTAAATCTATCCCTGTCTTTATCAGAGGATTCTACTAGGACTGCCTTAGGCCCCATTGTATTTCCACAGGGATTGACTATGACCTGTGACTCATCAATCTGAGAGGTTTCTTTTAAAAATTTTGGGAATAAATGAAATGCATTTCTGAAGAATATCTGCTTGATTTCCTTTCCTTTTCCTAGAAGTCTGTTACTAGGACATGTCTTCTATGAAGGACTTCTCTCTCTGAATTTTGTTATACAGAAATAAAATGTTAAGTTACAAATCTTTGAAAAAACTCATCAAGGGTCTATGTAACTTCTTTTTCTTTTAAATGCATTTAGTATTTCATAAAATGGCATAAAACTTTCTAAAGGTTGGTGCTTATTTACAATAATTTATGTTTGTTCTCTCTTTTCAGTGTTACTTGCTAAATCTGCTTATATATGCATTAATTCATTACCAAGTCAGTCAATTTTCTGTATTAACATTCAATCCCCTTTACCAACTTAGTATCACAATGCCATTTCCCTCATATTATTTGAAATTCAGAGTAAAGATATTTTTACCAAATGTTCTTTATTATGTACTTCTTTTTACTTTTAAATCCATGGCATGCTCTTCTTTACTGAAAAAGGTATTTCTTCTGTTGCCAATTTCAGCATATTCTTTTGTATATCTGTCACCTTTGGCCTTCATTTGAACTTGTTAAAATTCAGTTTGCCTTTTTTGGGCCCAGAATATTCCAGCTGATGACCTTATTTTTCCTAGTTTCTCTTCAATGTTTTCTAAGCCTTCCATCAATGTAAATATATTTTGTATGCATCTGTAAATCATTATTACTATTTAACTGTTTTTCCCCTAATGGTACCCAGAGGTTAATCAGACTTGGCATCTCTTATGCCTGGCAGAGTATTAAACTAACAAGAGCAGCATTTATGCAACGTCTTCAGTGGCTGGTGTCTGCATTAATTGCAACACAAGCTCTTATGTTAATTATATGCATACTCAAGTCACTTTGTATAAAACTGATATGCCTATATGTGTCTGTTTTATGTATCTATTCATATGCCAATTTCATGACATCTCTGCATTTAATTATTAATACTATGTATTTCATGATAATATTAATATAATTTCCATATGGCATTTGCAATTTCCTAGCTTGACACTACAGCTAGCTTCATCTTAAACATTTTGCAGCTGACACAGAACAGCTTCTCAACAAAATAACCAGAAATCCTGAGCAGCTGGACAGAGGCAGAAATCCTCTATTAAAAGCTGCCTTGGAAACTTGAAAAAGATGAAGTTTTACTCCTATGGGAAATATACAGCTATAGTGGGTGTCAATGCCAATCTCAGTACCAAATTTGCAAACACTTCTTGCAAAATGTTACAGGAAAGCTTTTTTTTCCATGCACCACTTTTCAGTGATATTCAGAAATACATTAAATATTCCCTTAATTCTTTTAATCCTTTCAGAAAAATCCTTTAGGAATATTTAATGAAGAAAAGCTATGAGGCTGTTATGCAGTACATATTTGACAAAGGCAAGATATCAAGAACTGTCTTCTTTCTTCATACCTGTTCAGACCTTCTCATTTTTATCTGATAAATGATGGCTAGGCATGCACCAGGATTATGAGTTGGGACTGTCCTATGATATGGGGAGCTGTTATTTGGCTATTTTCCCATAATCATGGAATCATGGGATGGTTTGACTGAGAATGGACCTTAAATACCATTTAGTTCCAACCTCTGCATCATGGGCACAGACACCTTCCTCTAAATCTTCAAAGCCTCATCCAGTCTGGTCTGCAATACTTAGAGGGATGGGAAATCCACCACCTTTCTGGGCAGTGTTTCACTCCCCTCATAGTGAAGAATTTCTTTTTAACATCTAATCTAAAGCTAAACTCTTTACGTTTTTGTTAATGTAAAGAAGAAATCTCAGGCTCTTCTGTCTACAAATAGAGCAAAGCCATTAATAAGTTAGATTTACAGTCTTTTAAACTCTTCTAGAAATTGCTAATAACTTCCAATGGAGAAAATAAAGAAAGAATTATTCTTCAAACAATTAGAAAAGTCAATAAGTTTTTATCAAAGCCTCAAAGTCATGAGTAATTCACAATAGTTTAGACTCCTAATATGTTTACATGGTGAAGAATAATTTTTAACCTTATCAGGACAATGCACATGTGCTCATGTGCTACAAGTCTTGGATTAATCAAAATAACCTTATTTCCTAATGCCCCAAGGCAGTATCTAGGAACTACAATGGGCAAGATTAACATTCATATATTCTGTATATCAATATTAAATATTTACAGTTTGATTCCTTAGAGTGTCTTAGCAAGTTTCTGCGTCATTGTATTAGCACAATACTGTGTGAAACAGGACTCTTCCCATCAGTACTTTTATTATACTGCTGCTCTAGGCAGATATAGGAGTAAGCTGCTTATACAATAAGGAGTCATATCCAGCTAATATTTTGATAGTAAGTTAGTCAAGCTTTACTGGAATATGATTCACTGTGTTGAAAACAAATGGTAACACAGTAAATGGTTCACTTGAACAGAACTACCCACTGTGCTAAAGTTAGTGTAGGAGTTGCTCCTGGAAAAGTTACTAGAAGAAGTATGGGGGAGGTGTGGCTTTTCTATTTTGAAACTGGAGACAAGTTTTTCCTTTTACAGTTACCAGATTGAAATTACCACTGCCTGGAGAGTACGCAGATACTATACATTTGACCTAGATAAACTGCTTTAGGAGGCCCAGTCTTTTCTGTCATCATACTTTTTCACATCCCATCAATGACTTCCATTCTTCAGCTATGGGCAGGTTTTGATAGGTTTCCAGGCTATTATAAACGCCGAGATTGAGTGAAGAACCACTTATTATTCCATAAATTATTCTCTACCAAGTCACTGATACTGATAAGGTGATTTTGGACATAGTACCAGATCATACTTACAATCATTTCAATTGCACTGAAGGCACAAAGTGGAGCTAGGAAAAAATAAAATTTACTGCAACATTTTATGAAAACGTGTACATATAAGAATTATTATGCAGCTAATCTAGTAACTAAGTTCTTTCTTTTTCCTGGCCATACTGTGTTGATAAGTCATGAAATGCATATTCTTAATTTCACAATTTAGTTTTACAAGAACAGATGATCAGGGCTTTTTCAACAATAATTTTCTTTTCTGTCATCCCAGAAGGATCAAGGAGCCTAAAGATGTAGCTGAGTGCTTGACTTACTTATAACTTGAAGTAGTTAGCTTTACCCAACCACCTTTTTTAATGCTGCATGCATAAAATGAGTATAAATAGATACAGAGACTCCAACACTCTTTCCACATTAACACCACTGCAGCAGTCCCACAGCAGACAAGCTTTTTCTGTACCTGTGGAGGAAGTAGAAGGATATGCTTCACAGGAAACAGAGCCAGAAAACATCCCTTTGGTCACACTAGATTTTCTACAACACTGCTACTAAGAGATCTCAACAGATATTTTTCCATAGAATTTCTACTTCACTATCCTCTCCTCTGCCAATCCTCTTTGTTGCCTCTGTTGTCTTGCTTGAATACTTAAGTCCAAACTTGCATTGCTTTTTCTTCCTTGCTAGGTCTAAGAAATTTTCCTATTTCATTTGTAGTATTACTTTGAACACATTTTACAAACTATCACCTAAATACCCCACATCTGACTTCCCCAAATGCTCTCCTCTCTGTGTATGACACATCTTTTTTTAATGTTCTCTCATCTTATGGCATTATTCAAGAACTATAAAACTTTTGTTGTCCTACATAGTTTTCATGTTGATCCTATAAACACAGAGAAGAGTGAGATTTTTTACGCTAGTGTTTATTCCAGTCAATATTTATGTGGGAGGCATACAGAAAACAGCACAAATACTCTGTATCCCCACTTCAGTACAGAGAATCATGCCAAGGGTTCTCTGGGGGCTGTGCAGTACAACACTACTCTGGAGAAAAAGTGAGTTCTTAAACCAGTTTGCTGATACACATAAACAGCCAGAGTTACATTAATAAAAAATTTATTGTAGAAGCAGTGCTTATTGTATCTGATGCATTTATGCACTTCACAGCTGTGGCTTATTCCATTAAGCAAACTGATTTAAAGTGTATTTACAAAAGGCTTTTGCTGGATTGTACATATGTCCACGTAAGAATTATTTTAAGCACTACAATAGTTGGTGGCCATAGTTTTTCACAGCTGTGTCATCAAAATGTTAGAGCTCCAAACTAACAGGACAAACTGTCTGTCATTATACTAACAACCCTTTACAGTTTAAAGAAAGGTTTCCTGGAGATGCTGCCTTTCTCACTATTGGGACATTTCAGTGAATATGGGCTTTCCATTTCCACTATTTTTGCTTCAAAAACCTAGACATTCTTCCATCTCCATAAATTGATGCCTGCCTCTATGTGACTTTCTCAGATATCCATGCAAAACCTTGTAGATTTTCAGCATGAAAAACAGAGGAAAGAAACATGATGAATCACAAAATCACTAAATCATAGAATCATTAAGGTCGGAAAAGAACTCAGAGATCATTGAGTCCGACTTTTGACTGAACACTAGCATGCCAACTAAACCACTGTGTGCCACATCCAGACATTTCTTGAATACTTCAGGGATGGTGACTCCACCACTGCCCTGGGCAGCCTGTTCTGATACCTGACCACTCTTTTACTGAATGAATTCTTCCTGATGTCCAACCTGAATCTCTCCTGGTACAGCTTCAGGCCATTTTCACTTGTGTTGTCACTGTTTGTCTGGAAGAAGAAGCCAACCCCCACCTGGCTACAGCCTCCTTCCAGGCTGTTGCACAGAGCAGCAAAGTCTGCCCTGAGCCTCCTTTTCTCCAGGCTAAGCACCCCCAGCTCCCTCAGCTGCTTCTCACAGGACTCGTGCTCCTGACCCCTCCCCAGCTCCATTGCCCTTCTCTGGACTCGCTTTACCACCTCAAAGTCTCTCTGGTTGTGAGGGGTCCAGAAATGGACACAGCACTTGAGGTGTGACCTCACCAGTGCCAAGTACAGGAGGACAGTGACTGCCCTGCCCCTGCTGTTCTTGATGTTGCTGATCCAAGTCAAGATGCCACTGGCATTTGTGGTGACCTGGGCATACTACAGGCTTGTGTTCAGTCACTACAGGCCTGTGATCAGGCTTGTGTTCACCAGCACCCCTAGGTCCTTTTCCACTGGGCAGCTTTCCAGCCACTCCTCCTCTAACCTGGAGCACTCCATGGGGTTGTCGTGACTGAAATGCAGGACCAGGCATTTGGTCTTGTTGAAGCTGAAGGTTTTCCAGGAGAAGGCTTTGGCAGATATTGTCGAGGTCTTTAAGGTCTGAAGTCCACGTAGGTGTAGTCACAGGCATCCCCTCATCCACCAGGTGGGTCACCTGGTCATAAAAGGGGCTGGCAGGCAGAACCTGCCTTTTCTAAACCCATGCTGTCTGGTGCTGTACATGCCATGTGATAGCACTCATGATAATGTGTTCTATAACCTTCTTAACTGAGGTCAGGCTGACATGCCTCTTGTTCTGCAGATCCTCCTTCTGACGCCTCTTATGGATGGGCGTGACCTTGAGTAACTGCACCATTAGCTAAGACAGAAAACAGATGATAGAGAATAGCTTGGTGAGTTCTTTTAACAGTTTCCTAAGTATTCTCAAGCAGATCTGAGCAGTCTGACTCAAGTGACTTCTGAGTGTCCAAGTGCCACAGAAAGTCACAAACTACTTCCTCTTGGATTACAGGGGTTTTTCTCTGCTCCCCCACCTTGTCTACCAGCCCAGGGGGTTGGTTGCACTAAGGATAACAGGTTTTTGTCTAAGACTAAGGTTAAGGAAGGCCTTGAAGTGTCTCAGCATCTTCCTTATCTTTGATGACAATGTTTCCTCCCACATTCAATAAAGAATGGAAATTTTCCTTGGCTGTCATTGTGCTGGTACTTTTTAAAAACACTTTTAATTCTCTTTTTCCAAAGGGACTGGCCAGGTTGAGTTCTAGCTGAGCTTTTGTCATTCTAGTTTTCTCTCTATGTGACCTAATGACATTCTCAGACTCTTTCTGAGTTGTCTGCCCCATCTTCTGAAGGTCACAAGCATTTTGTTTCCCTGAATTCCAGAAAAAGCTTTCTCTTTAGCCAAGTTGGTGTTCTTTCCTGCCAGCTCATCTTTTGACATGTAGGGACAGTCTCCTCCTGCACCCTTAAGATTTCCTTCCAAAAAGGTGTTGAGCATTCCTGGGGCCCTTTCTTATAAAGGGTTGTTTCCCAAACAACTGTCTTAATGAGCATCCCGAACAGGCCAAAGTCTGGCCTCTGAAAGACCAAGGCAGAGGTTCTGTTGACCCCTTCCCTTACTTCACCATCAACTGAAAACTCTATCATTTCATGATCACTATACCCCAAATGGTATTTGAATATCACATCTCCTCACCAGCTGTCCTCTATTCACAAGCAGGTCTAGCAGGGCACTTCCCCCAGTAGGCTCATTTACTATCTCTGTCAGAAAGTTTTCTTCCACATGTTCCAGGAGCCTCCTAGTCTGCCTTCTCTCTGCTCTGCTGAGCTTCCAGCAGACATCTGGGAATTTAAAATCTCCTGCAAGACCAAGGGCTGGTGATCATGAAGCATTAGATTCATCCAGCCACTGATAGGATACTTTACATACCTTTTCATCCTGGCTGGGTGGTCTCCCAGCAGGAAGTGTGCCTTGTTGCCCTGAATTTTACCCTGATCATTACCCTGAGGTATTCAATCTTATTTTCACTATTCTTGAGCTCTATACAGTCAAAAACCCTGTATGTTTATAATCATAGGTACCAGAAGGGAAGGGTGGGTGAAAATTTTCCCCTGATATCCTAACACAACATAAGTACCTTTTTACAATAACATTCAGCTTGGCTCCCATGCCAAGCGGGAGTTCATCTGTTTCCTTCCAGTGTCTTTGGTTATGATATCCTGAAGCTGAACAGTAGCAGCACATATTCCAGGCAGAAACTGAACAGCTGATACTGGAGTGTGTCATTGCTTTTGAGGAATTTGCTGGACTTTAAGTTTATCCTGCAAACTGTGCTTAGTGAGTAAAAGAAGGCTTGCTGAAGCACATACAATTCTTTTTCATTATCTTAGTATTATGAAAGTAATATTTTGGAAATTATTTCCCTATGTATTTTAATAGAAAGTCATATTAATAGTTCTGAAAACAGCAACTACCTCTCTTATCTGTTTAAAAAAAGTACTTTTAATCACAACTCCATGTCATAATAATTATATGTAATAATTACACATAACACATGTAACTGGTACCAGAACCTTCAAGTCCAACCCTCTTTTCTCCTGACTAATCGAGTTTATTGCAATGCCCATCTTACTGCTTTGTGCATATGTTTTTTTTGGTTATTGTTTATTGTAGTAGCATCACACATTTTCCTAGACTGTCCTGTCACCCAGTACCCAAGGCCAGACTACAGCTCTGGATGTTGAACTGGTGCTGTCAAGCAAACAGATGCAGCTGCAGACTCAGCTTTAGGATGGCATAATCCACTTTATTCTCACTGGCATTGACCTAAACCCCCTGTAAGTACCTTCTAAAGACAGCTAGGCAGTGTAAGTAATATTTATATTGTTAAAAACAGTATATCTGAACATTAGCTATTCACCAACTCTCATCAAAGAAATTCTGCTTTTTCTACATGACTGTCCAGCAGACCATGGGAACCTGCTGTGCAGACGATTTATTTTAGTCCCAAAATAGACCCTCAAGCTATGATCAAACTCATCCAAGCAGCAATGACAATAAATACAGTTTTATTGTCTCGAGCAATAATAGGGACTCTTTTTCAGGATGAATTTTTTGAGCTGTGCCAGCAAATGCAACTCAGTAAGGAGGGATATTTCTGGCTATAAAATACCCTGAACTAGATCTCTGGTAGTAACTGAGGAGTTTCAAAGCACCTGCCAAGAGATGCCAGATGAAAGCCCTTTGCCTGCATCTTGCTAAAATTGCGGCACAAGATGCAGCATCCACAATGACTTCGTGTTCAAAGAAGCATAAAATAGAAGTAGACACACTTATTTTATCTTAGTGAAGAGTAAAGGAAAAAAAAAGAAAACAAGAAGAGAAAGAAAAAGAAGAGGCTCTTGGGAGAAAAAAGTGAGCCTACCCATGGAAAAAATCTAACAGCAGCCAAAGGAACAGAAGCTGTAAATAAGCACATACAACTGTAAATAAATGAATGCAACTGTTACATTTCTGGGTCTGATGGAGCTCCCTGTGGGGTTGTGACAGTGGTGTATGCTGTTGAAGGTGCTGTGTGTTAGGAAACACTCCACCCTTTGCCGAAGGAGTGGGCATGCTGTGTCTCCCTCTTCCTTCCTCGCTTTGTGCAAGTGACACACAGCACGCCACCACCCTGGCAGGCACCAGGCAGCTGCCAGCAGGACTGTGGAAGGAAGCCTGAGATCATGCTCACACAGGTCTCCCATCTTTCCCCATATCAAATAAAATCAAATAAAATCAGGAGCAGCATTCTCTTACTTCTCTAGATGGCCTGGCACAGGATAAGGGAGAAGGGTTGCTGTGCTCTGCACTGACATGCATTGGTAACACTGTGATTCTGCACAAGCACCTAAGCTACTTTCCCAGTTTTCCTACCTTTTCTTGGAAGCAATGAAAGCTAAGATGCTAAGATGGCATCCTGGGAGCTTCTTGAGGGGACACAAATAGAATGGCATGGTTGGATGCACTTTAAACTCACATCACAGACCAACAGTCACGTTAACCATGCCAATAAAGGGTTAATTGCAATGATTTTCTCATCTGTCACTATTTTCTTACAAACAGCTTTTTCACAGAGCAATAGACATTCAGATAAATTTTAAAAATCAGCATAAGTATATATATAAAGAAACCAAATGAACTACTTTCCATTTGAATAGCAAAAATCTTCTTAATGTGTGTACGCTGTTGACCTCCAGGTCTGTGGAAAAGATCAGACTCCAGGGGTTAAACACAGTTGCCAGGAACAAATATTGCAGTGCCACTGTGGAGGTTGCATTCAGACACATCTGCAAGGCTGCCACATATAGTGCAGGACTTCTAGGAGAGCTGCATTGCTCTAAAGAGGCTGTAGGAGGACAGATATAATTTAGAGCTTCTGAAATGACTGTAGACACCTAGGTTAAAATACTTAAGGTCCCACCTTTGTCAAACAAGTGCAGGGATAAAAAAATTATTGGGAACAAAGGGATGCAATTAAATTTGCTATTCTAGTCATTTAAAGCCTATGCAGATGTCTATCTATCTATCTATCTATCTATCTATCTATCTATCTATCTATCTATCTATCTATCTATCATCTATCTATCATCTAATCTACCTATCTATAATCATCTATCAAAATGTTTCTGCACATTCATATACATATGCATTTACATACGTTGTAACTGAACATTTACACACCCTGTGTCTGAAAATAACTAGGGAATTTTCTGCCATAGTGATTGCTGCAGAAACAGCATTATTGGTCATTGATCCTCACCATCAGCTGAGGGACTTTATTTGTTTAAAGTAAAGACCTTTTCAGGTCTCCAACCTTGAATGTAAACCTGGAAGGAGATTCTTCCTCTTTTTTAGTCTAAAAGAAAGAGGTAAAGAGATTTAACTAGTCCCAGAAGCCAGGGAAAACCTTGAAAGATTTTTGATTCTCTCCTCTACCTCCATGGAAAAACAACACAGCTAGAAATAGGGATAAAACAACAGGTTCATAAGAAATACAGTGTGCTAGAATACTAATTTTACTATTATGTGATTAGAAAAGAAAACTAAAGGCACTTTTACTGTTTAAATTATTTCAGGTAATTTTTCTTACAAAGGAGATCTTTAAAATGGTCTGAGCCTGCTGGTCCTGTTTAAAGAGAATGTTTATTTGCAGTTTATGGCAGGTACTCATAGCTGTAAGTACAGTAGGCACATCTCTTATACCCAAACAGATGGGACACTGACAAAAACTGAACATTCCTGTGTGGAAACACCTTTAGCCACTTAGGAAAATGCTTATCAGTTTCAAATGTACTCACTGTTTTCTTCTCTGTCTCCAAAACTACAGTTACAAATAGCAAGAGGTTATTTAAATAGCAATTTCATCTGCCACTAGGTCCAGAGACCACTGAGACTTGGCAGGATAATCAGACATAATAATAATAAAAATTAAAACATTATTAATAGGAAAAACTTGACTTTCAGCAAAATGACTTTTTATGGGAGACAATGAAACCTCATCGATTCCAGCTGAAATTCTGCGTGTGTATATGCTGAGAAACTGATTCCAGTATATATTGTGGCAATATTGCATGCCTCAACTTAACATG